ATTGTAGAGATGAGGTCTCGCCAAGTTGCCCAGGTGGGTCTTGAACCCGTGGACTCAGGCAATCCACTCATCTCAGCCTCCCAAAGCGTGGGATTGCAGGCTGAGCCACTGTGCCTGGCTTTGCTTTTTTTTTTTTTTCTTAAATTTTTGTATAGGTGAGGTCTCACTATGCTGCCCAAACTGGTCTCGAATTCCTGGCCTCAAGCACTCTTCCTGACTTGGCCTCTCAAAGTACTGGGATTACAGGTGTGAGGCACTGTGCCTAGCTTACACTTGTGTTGTTGTTGTTTTTTTTTTTAAATAAGGCCATGTTTAAGATTTGGGATTTTTAACAGTAGTTATCAACCTTTTTTGTGCTTTCCATAGCTGAAGGACAAAGCCATTGACGTAGTTCCTCCATCAGTAACATGGCTGGCTGCAGCAGGGGTTGTCAACTGAAGGAGTGTGTCTCCAAAAAGGTGCTTCAGAATCTGAGGCATGCATCGTTTATCACCTGCTAGATTTTAAAACTAGTTGATTCTGATATGATAACTTCCCCACGAAGATAAGGTCCTCCTCCCTCTACCACCCCCATAGTTGTAAATCACAGCTTTAGATGGTCAAACTCTTTCCTTTACTTTCTCCCCACATCCTTAGCATTTTTATAAATCATTGCAAATTCTCTTTAATAAACTTTAGCAAAATTATGGGACATTTTGTAAAATGAAAAACAGAAAGGGCTGGGCCTGGTGACTCATACCTGTAATCCCAGCACTTTGAGAGGCCAAGGTAGGTGGATTGCTTAAGCCCAGGAATTTGAGACAGTCTGAGCAGCATAGTGAAACCCTGTTGCTACAAAAAACTAAATGATTAGCTGTAGTACAGGTGCTCAGGAGGCTGAGGCTGAAGGACTGTCTGAGCTCAGGAGGTCAAGGCTGCCAAAGCTGTGATCATTGTGATCAGCAGGGGCAACAGAGTGAGATCCTGACTCAAAAAAAAAAAGAAAAGAAAAGGAAGAAAAAGGAAAGAGAGGAAGCCTAAAAGATTTTGTAATCCTGTGCTCATTCAGTGACATCAAGGCCCCGTTGGGCAACCTGTCTTGTGGATGACAGGGTTGGGAGTGTTTTCCACTATAGGCAGCATGTGACCAATTCCTGGCTGAAGAAACAGTGTACTTGCTAGTGGCCAGAAGGGGAAGGGAAGCTGCCTAACAGTTTAAAAGCCAGAATTACTCTGTCTTGTAGTAGAAATTAACATTCTTTTTATAGGAAAAAAAAACTTCTGAAGACTAAAACTGGGAGCATATAAAATATATGCAAGATATACTGGTTTAGAAGATGCTTTGAGAGTTGGTCCAGTGGATATTTTTAGAAGTTGTCTACATGGCCTTAACGAAATTTGTTTTTCTCCAGTGTTTGAATATGTTTTTAGTGATTTAAATTAACCAATTTACTCATATTTAGAGACAGGGTCTTGCTCTGTCACCCATTCTGGAATACTGTGGTACAATCATAGCTCACTGTGACTTTGAAGCATCCCAAGCAGCTAGGTCTCAGGCACGTACCATCACACACAGCTAATTTTTTTTTATTTTTGTAGAGACAGAGTCTTGCGATGTTGCCCAGGCTGGTCTTAAACTTCTGGCCTAAGCAGTCCTCCTGCCTTGACCTCCCAAAGTGCTGGAATTACAGGCATTAGTCACCTGCTCAGCCGTGTGTTTAGTCATGTTAAAAAGTTATCTTAATCCCTCTGAAGAGATGAAGGCTTTAATTACAGATGTTGTGCAAAGCTGATAATTGTTATTCAACTTTTTGATCAAGAAGCTTACATTTCAGTGGGATGTTATTTTCTGCAAAAAGTGTTCATGAGGTCTAACTTGTGCCCTGTAGGTGTTGGCTTGCTTACCTCTGGCCAGTGTGATGTGATTGTGGCCGGTGGTGTCGAATTAATGTCCGATGTTCCTATTCGTCATTCAAGGAAAATGAGGAAAATGATGCTTGATCTCAACAAGGCCAAGACTCTGGGCCAGCGACTATCTTTACTCTCTAAATTCAGATTGAATTTTCTATCACCTGAGGTAAGACTTGGGAACTTTGTGCAAATAAGATGTGTTTCCAGAGCATCCTGGTGCAGCGATTTAGAATGAGGCAGGTCAGCGTGGGCTCTGGTATGCTCTAATTGTTGTAGATTCGCTTATTTTCAGGGAGGGGCTAATTATTTGGTCAAGATGAAAAGTAAAGACAGTGGTTAGAAAGTCTGAATTTGTGAGCTCTTTTTAGAGATCCTTTTCTCTCCTTGCTCACAAAGAGTTTCCCTTGCCCTGATCTTGACTGATAAATGGTAAACAAATAGATTTTACCTTATCCATGTAACACAGAACAGTCCTAGGTGTCATATAATATCTGCTAACATGTGTGCCTTCCCCTCGGCTGTCTCCTTTCCCAGCTCCCTGCGGTGGCTGAGTTTTCCACCAGCGAGACGATGGGCCACTCTGCAGACCGACTGGCCGCTGCCTTTGCTGTTTCTCGACTGGAACAGGATGAATATGCACTGCGCTCTCACAGTCTGGCCAAGAAGGCACAGGATGAAGGACTCCTTTCTGACGTTGTACCCTTCAGTGTACCAGGTCAAATGGAATGCTTTATGATACCTCCTAGGGAATTCTGAATTACCCAAATTGCTCCTAAAACTCAAAAAAACCCAAGGAACTTTTCAATAAGTATGTTCGTCCTGTTTCCAAAATACTCAGCCTTTATTCTTATACATGGACTCAAGTTTCAATTTATGTTATAACAATAGGTAAACATTTAAAAATTTTTATAAGAGTCTCCTTTTAAGCTGGGCTCAGTGGCTCAGCCTGTAATCTCGCGCCTTGGGAGGCTGAGGTGAGTGTATTGCCTGAGCCCGTGGGTTCGAGACCCACCTGGGTAACTTGGCGAGACCGCATCTCTACAATGAATCAAAAATGAGCCGGGCGTGGTAGTGTGCGCCTGTAGTTCCAGCAACTTGGAAAGCTGAGGCGAAAGGATCGCCAGAGCCCAGCAGATTGAGCTTGCGGTGGCCGGGAGCGGCCACTGCACTCCAGTCTGGGCAACAGAGTGAGACTCCAACTCAAAAAAAAAAAATACAGTCTCCTTTTAGATCTTCCTGATATACAGAGGGTGCCAGCAAATATATACACATTTTAAGAAAGGAAAAAACTGTATTAAAATTGTAAGATGGACGCAAGTCACATTTGACTTCTGCAAGAGGTGCTCCAAGTGGTTACTATCAAAGTTCAGACACTTTTGAAAAATATTTCAAAAAGTAATACATAGATAACATCTCTTAAAATGTGTATACTTTTTTTGACACCCTGGTATTTTATATCTTACATACATGCCTATTTTTAAAATTTTTAAATTTCTGATTCATCTAACTTCTGCATAGAGTAGTCAAATACAAATGAATGTCTTAAGAAATTTTTTTTTATTAAACTAGATTATTTCTAACATGTCTTAAGAGTTTAGTTTGATGTTTGATAATATTTTGACAACACGAAAGGCTTTCTATTAAATAGATAAAGTTTTATTTCATTTGTTCTCATAATTTTTAAAGCATATTTCTCTGGGAAGATATATAATGCTTGTAGTTCCAGAGAGTTAAAAAGTTCTTGTTTTTATAGGAAAAGATACAATTACTAAAGATAATGGCATCCGTCCTTCCTCACTGGAACAGATGGCCAAACTAAAACCTGCGTTCATCAAGCCCTATGGCACAGTGACAGCTGCAAACTCTTCTTTCTTGGTAGCTATAATGCTATTTATGTTTAGTAGTGACTTTTATATTTTTGTACTCTCAGTAGAAAAGCCTAAAATAGATTTATGTGCGTGTGTTGTGAGTAGAGGCTTAAAAATATAGTTATTCATTATAAAGATAATGTTCAGATGGAATCATGAAAAAAATAGAGGGCTGGACATGATGGCTCACACCTGTAATCCCAGCACTTTGAAAGACCAAGGAGGGCAGATTGCTTGAGCCCAGGAATGCAAGACCAGCCTGGGCAATATAGCAAAACCTCATCTCTACAAAAAAAGTAAAAAAATTAGCCCGGTGTGGTGGTACATGCCTGTAGTCCCAACTACTCAGAATGCTGAGGTGGAAGGATTGCCTGATCCCAGGAAGTTGAGACTGTCATGAGCCGTGATTGTCTTGATCATACCACTGCATTCCAACCTAGGCAACAGAGTGAGACCCCCAACTCAAAAAAACCCCAAAAAATAGAATCATAATTTTAAGACCTTAGAAGTCATCTAATTCAGCTATCATTCTGCTACAAAAGCTGTTCTCTTTAAACACTTAACCAGTCAAACTTTATTGCCTCTGCTAGGCCCTGGAAAAGGAAAGAACAGATAATTGCAATGTAGTGAGAAAGTGCTGTGGTGACTGTAAACATAGGCTATCAGACAAATTAAATAGAGGGTCCCTAAACCAAACTGGGAGTAGTCAGAGAGGCTTCTCAGAAGAGATAACTCTTGGGAGCAAATATTGAAGTAAAACTAAAAGTCAATTCAAGAAATCTTTTCTAGGCAGAAGGAACAGCAAATGTAATATTGGGGTATTAAGAGCAAGGGTTTCTTTGGGGGAAGAGCTAGATTGGAGCACAGGATATGAACTGGGCAGTCCTAGAAGACTGGGAAGAGTAGGCAGAAAGAGTAACAGGATGCCTCTTCTAGCATCATGGAGTAAACCATCCTGTTTTTTGTTTTGTTTTGAGTCAGAGTCTTGCTCTGTTGCCCAGGCTGGAGAGCAGTGGCACGATCACAGCTCATTGCATTCTTGACCTCCTGGACTCAGACCATCCTTCCACCTCTTCCTCCCAAGTAACTGGGACTACTAGTGGGCATCACCATACCTGGCTGATTTTTTTTTTTTTTTTGTAGAAATGCTGTCTCTCTATGTTGCGCAGGCAGGTCTTGAACTCCTGACCTCAAGCAATCCTTCTGCCTCAGCCTCCCAAAGTGCTGGGATTATAGGCACGAGCTCCCAGCCTGTTTTGTTTTTGTTATAAGTTTTTTACTTACCTACATGTAGCTTCATGTTCTTTGCTTTTTTGTCTCCTCCTCAACTAAACATCCCTATTGATTCTGCTGCTGCTTGTAAGATGTGGTTTCTCTTCTCTTATTACCTTGGGTGTAGTGCTCTGGATATAGGCCAGGTAGTCAATGTTTCTTTTACAATATAACTCCCCTGCCCAGTCATAAAGTCTGGAAACAGGCAATGTTTGACATATTTGCCCATGGTCAATGACTAATGAATGCCTACTCTTGACGGGCTAGAGGAAGGGCACCTGGAATGATTCCAGCAGGAGGGGGCCCCACCCAGTTAAGCCTGAGTGGTGAAGCTGGTTCTTTTCCCCTTGGTTTGCTTGTTATGGAGTTTATAAGTAGAAGAAAATTACCTAGAAGTCATGGACAGGACGCAGCTGTCAAACAGCCTAGAAAATGTAAGAATAAATACGAAAGTCTCATATTTTGTGCCAAAAGCTAAAAACTTTGGCTTTAGTTTTTTATAAGTACAAATTTCTAAAGTTACTTGTTTTTTTTATCCATTTTGATCATTTTGATATTTTTGAACAGGTCTTATACTCCCAAATTGAGTCAATGTGTGTGTGTTTAAATTGTGGTTTAATGACTAATAACAACGAAGTAGGTGATGTTATATAGAATCACTGTATAATTATAGTGAGTTAGTAGATTCAGAAACAGGAAATAGTTGTAGGAAGACCTCCAGACAGGCTAAAGAATTTTAACATTGTTCTGGTTAACATTTCAGACTGACGGTGCATCTGCAATGCTGATTATGGCAGAGGAAAAAGCTCTGGCCATGGGTTATAAGCCGAAGGCATATCTGAGGTAAAGTAAATGTTCCAGTGAATTGCCTCTGATATTTATTTATTTGTTTGTTTGTTTGTTTACTTACTGAGTTGGAGTCTTACTCTGTTACCTGGGCTGGAATGCAGTAGCATGCTCACGGCCACTGCAGCCTCAATCTGCTGAACTCAGGCGATCTTTCCGCCTCAGCCTTCCAAGTAGCTGGAACTACAGGCGTGTGCCACCACGCCCGGCTAATTTTTCTTGATTTATTGTAGAGATGAGGTCTCGCCAGGTTGCCCAGGCTGGTCTTGAGCCTGTGGGCTCAGGCAGTCCTCTCACCTTGGCCTCCCAAAGTGCCCAGATTATAGGTGTGAGCCACCACATCCAGCCGTGCCTCTGATTGTTAAATTTTATTACTGGAGGTAACCTCTGTATTTTTTACCTAGGGACTTCATGTATGTGTCTCAGGATCCAAAAGATCAACTATTACTTGGGTAGGTAGCAGTTTATATCTTTGGGATGTAAGTATTTGATTACTCACATTTATCATACTGATTTGAGAGTATGTTAAGCCTTGAGTTCATAATTGATTTATGTGGTGTTTTTTTTTTTTTTTAAGTAATACTATTCCTTTATGTTGGCATATATTATTTGTATAGGTTTTGGATTATTTTCTGGTTTTTCCTATACCATTTACATATACATTTTTTTCCTATACATACGTGGGGGGGACCCAAAAATACTGGAATTTTTTTGGAAGGGCAGGCCTCTTGAGTACAGACTTACCCTGCTAGGTAAGTGTTCTAGGAACCCATTGGCAGCAGTGTACCAGCTAACATTGTTGTGAGAAGCTGCATTGGCTTAAGTGAATTTTTTGGGGGGGATTTCTTTTAGCACGTTTGCCCATTTCATGATGGGTGATTTACATGAACAACTTGCCCTCGCCGCACTGAGTGTTTTGCATTTTTTGACCAAAAATTGCATGACCCCTGTACCCTGCCCTCCCTATTAACCATATCTTGCCCTGAGCAACTTTTTTTTGTTTGCCTGGATGAAAAAGTTCTCAAAGGGAAATGTTTTCCCATGTGTAAGAGGTGAAACAAAGAATGGCAGAAGCACCAAAAGACATAAAAAAAAAAATGGATGAGTCAAAAACTGTTTTGAGCTGTTGAAAAAGTGTCTTGATAGGTGTGTTGCATCAAATGGAGAGACTTTGAAGATGACTGAAGATTAAACATGTAAAAATAAATACACAATTTTTTATAAATAAATTCCAGGATTTTTTTTTTCATCCTCCCATTTATACAGCTTTGCCGTCTTTTTTCCTTCAGATGTCACAAACATTTTTTCATATTGCTATATACTCTGCTACATAATCTCCAGAATAATTTTTTATGAAAGCCTCCCAGTATTTAGAGTCTCTCCCTTTCTCTCACAAGGCTTTAGCCTCACTGGCCTCCATTATGACCTTCAACCCAGTCTAGCCCTTTCCCATGCCTACCCCTTTGAACTGTGTCCTTCTTTTAGCTCTACATGTTATGAACTTGCCCTTATCCTTCATTGTTTGCTTGTTTATTATCTGTTTCCCCAGCTCCATAATATAAGTTTAATAAGGGCAGAGGGCATGTCTGCCAGCTCACTATTGCATCATAAACATTTAATCAATATTTGTATAGTACAATCAATGAATAAGTGAATGACATTACAGAATCTGTGTAAAACTCAGTATAGTAAATATGAAGGAACTCCTAGCTTAAAAATTAAATTTAATATACTACTTGTTTTTTCTTTTCAGACCAACATATGCTACTCCAAAAGTCCTAGAAAAGGCAGGATTAACCATGAATGATATTGATGCTTTTGAATTTCACGAAGCTTTCTCAGTAAGTCATTTGAAGGACACATATAAAAGGACTATAGTTATAAAAAATGTAGTCCATGTTTGTGGGAGAGAGCAAGGCATGGTTTATAATGTGAGTGAGACAGAAGTGGAACTTTCTGTTTTAAGTACTGAATTACATTGCTGGGAGAAGCAGGGGAGGAATCATGGGCCACACACACGGTGCTGGAAAACTTACCTTTTGAGGTGTCTCTTAGGGGTCCTTCAAAAGGACCAAATTGTTTCTTTAGAAAATTTTCTCTGAATACTGATTTAAAGGTTTAATCAACTTTAAAGTTACACAAACCCATGCCTAAAAGAAAGCTTAGAGGGGACATTAATAACAAAGTCCTCATTGAATTATTTTTCCTTCTAGGGTCAGATTTTGGCTAATTTTAAAGCCATGGATTCTGATTGGTTTGCGCAAAACCACATGGGTAGAAAAACCAAGGTAAGTTTCTGATTTAAAAATATACTTGAATTTCCAAGGTACATTAATATTTGGAGCTTGGTTACCTGCTAATAAGAGTATGAAGGAGATAGCCTCTCCTTCTTTTGAAGAATTTTGTGTTTTATTAAATATATATCTATATATATCTATATATATCTATATATATAGATATATATAGTTTTTTTTTTTTTGAGTCGGAATCTCACTCCATCGCCCAGGCTGGAGTGCAGTGGCACGCTCACGGCTACCGCAGTGTCAACCTGCTGGGCTCAGGTGATCCTTCCACCTTAGCCTTTCAAGTAGTCAGAACTACAGGCACATGCTACCATGCCCAGCTAGTTTTTTGATTTGTTGTAGAGATGAGGTCTTGCCAAGTTGCTCAGGCTGTTCTCGAATGTGTGGGCTTAAGCAATCCCCTCACCTCGGCCTATCAAAGTGCTGAGATTACAGGCTTGAGCCACTGCTCCCATCCATGTTTATTTCTTAGTTTAAAAATAGTTCCTGGAGGCTGAACATGGTAGCTCACCCCAGTACTTTGGGAGGTCGAGGAGGGAGAATCACTTGGGGCCAAGGAGTTTAAGACCAGCCTGGGCAACATAGTGAGACCCTGTCTCTATTTAAACTAAATAAATAAGTAAAAATAGTTCCTGGAAATTCTTCAGCAAAAAATGAAAGTAATTTTTAAGTTGGAGTCTTATTCTGTAAGGCTACAGTACAGTGGCACAGTGATGGCTCTTGCGGCTTTGATCTGCTAGGCTCAGGTGATCTTCCGTCTCAGCCTTCCAGATAGCTGGAACTACAGGTGTGTACACCTGTAGCCCAGTTAATTTTTTTAAATTTCTTGTAGAGATGAGGTCTCTCCAAGTTGCCCAGGCTGGTCTCAAATTCCTGGGCTCAGGCAGTCCTTTTGCCTTTACCTCCCAAAGTGCTGGGATTACAGGCATGAGTCATCATGCCCAGCAAAAGTAAATTTTATGTTGTCTTTTGTTCCTCCCAATCTGACATTAGGTGAAAAATAAATGGCTTTTATATTGACCTAGACTTACTTTCTTTTGCAATAAAATGATTTGTGGTAGCCGGGCTCAGTGGCTCAGCCTGTAATCCCGCACCCTTGGGAGGCTGAGGTGAGTGGATTACCTGAGCCCGCGGGTTTCGAGACCTGTCTGGGCAACTTGACGAGACCTCATCTCTACGATAAATCAAAAAATTAGCTGGGTGTGGCAGCGCGCGCCTGTAGTTCCAGCTACTGGAAGACTGAGGTGGAAGGATCGCCGAAGCCCAGCAGGTCAAGGCTGCGGTGGCCGGGAGCTGCCACTGCACTCCAGTCTGGGCAACAGAGTGAGACTCCAACTCAAAATAAATAAATAAATAAATAATTTGTGGTATGTCTCATTATTTCCCTCTATTTCTATTACTTCCTATCAGTAGGAGCCTGGCTTGATTCTCATCTTAAGTAAATCTGCCCTTTCTATTTTGTGTTTTTTTTTTTTAATGGGACCTAGGTTGGATTGCCTCCCTTGGAGAAATTCAATAACTGGGGTGGATCGCTGTCCCTTGGACACCCGTTTGGAGCCACTGGCTGCCGGTTGGTCATGGCAGCTGCCAACAGATTACGGAAGGAAGGAGGCCAGTATGGCTTAGTGGCTGCCTGTGCAGCTGGAGGACAGGTACGTCACAGCGGCCTCTGGAAACCTCCAGAGCCCCTTTCTTGGGAACAAAACAGGCTTATGACTAGAATGTTTGATTTAGTTTAGTTTGAAACCTCCTTAAAGCACTATTTCTGATGACATGGGGGATACTGAGAAGGGAGATAACTTCCTTTCTGATAATACTTTGGAAGGAAGATGGTATTTAAATCCAAGCTTTTTTAAACAGAAAGTTTATAATGTTTATGAAATTAACATATACTCACTATGAAAACTATGGAAAATACAAAAAGCATATAGAAAAAATAGAATAATCTATAATCTCCTCATCAGACATTATCGTTATTAACATCTTGCTATATTGTCTTCTTTAATAATAAACTTTTGTTTAGTCACCATGAGACCTTATGTATACATTCTTTCTAGAGAGCTGGATTGTGCCTTAATTGGAGGATTAATTTACTTCTGGATAACCTACTGCTGTTCCGCTAGCGGAAGTTACGTCTTTCTGACAGACGTTTTCCTCTCCCTCACTTGCATTGCAGACCCAGCCTCTCACCTGCTATGGCATTTCACTCTGGGAATAAAATCCAAAAGAAAACTAGTTGTTGTTCACCCTAATGTGAACAGGTTTTCTTTCCCCCAGATTATGGGAACTTTCTGTTACTGAGCATGATGAATAAACAAGATATTTGAAAGCATAAACATCTCGCATTTAAAAGCCTTTACTTGTGGCTTTTCCTCAGAGACATTGCAGAAATAGGGGACCAGTTATTTACAGGTTAGAACATTTTGGACTTCATGATTAGAAATGCTTTTTAATCTGTGTAATTTCATCTGCAGAAAACCTTGGTCAGGTAGTACGAGAGTTATTCCCCTGTCTCTTTGTGCCAGGCTTCAACTAGGGAGGTGACTTATACTCATTTGTCTGAGCACTGTGTGGAATCCTCATAGGGTGATGTCTTTTGATTTAAGTATGTGTTCCCTAACTCTTCATCCAACACAGAGAGTGTAAATAACACAATATGAGATGCTTTTATGGATGAACAAAGAATAATACTCAGTACCCTTCTTCTAGAAGTTTATAGTATAGTGAGGGGGGTAGATAGGATGCATCTGAGAAACTAGATTCAACTTGGCACTGTTTCACCGAGAACCAAGCAAGCGGTACTGACATGATTGGGAAGTCAGAGGACAAATCCATCGTCGTGAATCTGGAGCAAGCTTTCTCAATTTGGCACTGACCTTTTGGGCTAGATAATTCTTTGTTGTGGACTTCTGCGCTGTGTTGTGGGATGCTTACCACAGCCTTAACCCACTAGATAGCAGTAGCAGCAAACTCCTCCTCACCCCGACCCCATGTACACACAGTGGGAACAAACAATCTCCAGACATTCTGAATGTCCTCTGGGGAGAGGAGGGGACTAAATCACCCCTAGTTGAGAACTACTGATCTAGAACAATAAAAAACACAGAGCATGAAAACAGTGCACTTTAAATAAAGCTACAGAGGCATATTCCACCTTATTATGAGTCCTTCCAGGATGACCCCCAAGTCAGACCTTCCCATCCTGACTCTTTTTTTGTCTGCTTGTGCCTTTTAATAGTACTTAACAGTTATTTTGAACTACAGCATATACTAGATTGAGGATAGAGACCATGCAGCAAATCTTTACTTATTTATTTTCCTTAAACAGGATCTCACTCTGTTGCCCAGACTGGAGTGCAGTGGCATGATCATACCTCACTGTAACCTTAAACTCCTGGGCTCAAATGATCCTTCTGTCTCAGTCTCCAAGTAGCTGAGATTATAGGCACATGCCTCCATATCTGGCTAATATTTTAGTTTAGTTTAGTTTAGTTTTTTTTGGCCAGGCATGGTGGCTCACGCCTGTAATTCCAACATTTGGGGAGGCTGAGGCGGGAGAATTACTTGAGCCCAGGAGTTCAAGACCAGCCTAGGCAACATAGCAAGACCTTGTTTCTACAAAAAATTAATGAGACATGATGGCACGTGCCTGTAGTCCTAGCTACTCAGGAGGCTGAAGTAGAAGGATTGCCTGAGCACAGGAGGTCGAGGCTGCAGTGAACCATGATCATGCCATTGTATTCCAGCCTGGATGACAGTGAGATTCTGACTCTAAAAATAAAATAAAATATTTTTGTATTTTTTGTAGAGACAAGATCTTGCTATATTGCCCAGACTGGTCTCAAACTTCTGGGCTTAGGTAATCCTTCCACCTCAGCCTCTGAAAGTGCTGGGATTACAAGCATAAGCCACCACACCTGGTACCTTGTAGAAAATCTTTAAATTATACGGTATTCAATTTGGTGCCTTACAAATAATAGTTTTTTAATAAGTATTTGTGGGGATTGAATTGAACCCAGAAGCAGGGAGATTAGTTAGGCTATTCACTGGTTTAATGGCAGTTTAGAGGTTAAAATGAGTGTGATTACCAGACAGAATAGAGACTCATAAAATTGTAAATTTCTTTCTTTCTTTCTTTCTTTTTTTGAGTTGGAGTCTCATTCTGTTGCCCAGACTGGAGTGCAGTGGCACACACCTGGCCACCACAGCTTCCACCTGCTGGGCTCCAGCAATCCTTCTGCCTCAGCCTTCCAAGTAGCTGGAACTACAGGCATATGCTACCACACCTGGCTAATTTTTGACTTATTGTAGAGAAGAGGTCTCGCCAAGTTGCCCATGTGGGTCTCGAACCCACGGGCTCAGGCAATCTGCTGCCTCGGCCTCCCAAAGTGCTGGGATTACAGGCTGAGCCAACGAACCCGGCCAAAATTGTAAATTTCTATGCTAGGTTTGTACTAAGGACATGACTAGTGCATTATACTGTGCAGAGTACTAGAGAAGAGATCTGTACTTCTTCCCCCTGTGGTCACTTAGATCATCTCCTTTACCTGTATAGAATAGCAGAGAAGGGATAAACCCAGACTTTGGTACCATCTAGACCTGGTTTCAAATCCTGGCCCTGTTACTAATAACTTTGTGATTTGGGTGAGTCACTTAACCTTTCAAAGCCTCAGTTTTCTCATCTAGATGTTTTCTTTTATTGGCATTCATTGTATCATGTTTATTTTTGTATAGCTAAAAAAAAGCCCCTGTGATTTCTCATTTTATTTATTTGTTTGTTTGTTTTTTGAGTAGGAGTCTCACTCTGTTGCCCAGGCTGGAGTGCAGTGGCATGCTCACGACCACCACAGCCTCAATATGCTGGGCTCAGGTGATCCTTCTACCTCAATCTTCCAAGTAACTGAAACCACAGGCATGTGCCACCATGCCCAACTAATTTTTGAATTTATTTTAGAGACGAGGTTTCGCCAAGTTTCCCTGACTGGTCTCAAACCCCTGGGCTCAGGCAATCCTCTCTCCTTTGCCTCCCAAAGTGCTGGGATTACAGTGTGAACCGCTGCACCCAGCTGATTTCTCATTTTAATAGCAACTATTTTTAGAGCATTTATTAGGAATTAGACTCTGTACTAGACAGGGTCTGATGCATAAATGTATACATGTATATGGGTGTGTATATAAATATACATGTGTGTTTGTGTATGTATATATATGTACACACACATATAGTGTGCTAATTTATTTAATGGTCGCAAAAATTCTAAGAAGTAGACACCGAGGTAGAAGGATCACCTGAGCCCAGCATATTGAGGCTGCGGTGGCCGTGAGCATGCCCCATTTTATAGAGGAAATTCAGATTCAGAATGGCCACAAGCTTTCCAAGATCACACAATGATTGAGAGAGCAGAGACAGGATCAAATTCCAAAGTCTGCTTTTCCCATGGTTTTCTGTGCCTGTACACTGGCAGGATTCATCATCATTCATTGCTCTAACTAAGCTTTTTCTTTCCTTTACAGGGCCATGCTATGATAGTGGAAGCTTATCCAAAATAATTGCTGCAGAAGAGGTGACCTGAAGTTTTTGTGCAACACTCACACTAGGCAATGCCATTTCAATGCATTACTAAATGACAACTATCGTTCCTAGCTCCTCTTAGGAAAACAATACTTGTGGCCTTCTGTTAAATACTTTGCAACTAAGCCTTGCCAGTGTTCTGAGCTTCTCAATAACTACAGCTTATTTTTCTTTCAGGGATTTCTAAGCCACCAGAATCTCACACAGATATGTGTAAACAGTTGTTTTTGGTGTCTGTTGTCATTAAAGACTAAATGAGTGGTTGCAATTGGGAAAGTGGTTGACTGAGATTTGGAGTTATCTTTGTGACATTTGCAAATTATACTTGTCCCTGTCTGTGTCTTAAAGATAAGTGTTTTCTATAAAATACAAACCAATGTGCCTACATTAACTTAATTATGGAAAAAATGATTCAGAATCTAAACATGACTGAAAACGTATAATAAAAGTTAAATACATAAATCCCATGATGGTCAACATTAATAAAGTAGAGAAGGATTGGGGAATTGTTTGCTTTATTATTACTTTTTTTTTTTAATGAGGAGGAGTGGGTGGTTCTCTTGCCTTAGGGGCAGATTTTGTCCTGTAGTACTTATTTGTAACTTCTAACAATTTTGGTCAACAATGAGGCTGCATAGAATAACACCTATTGTTTTTCCATTGCTGGATTGAAGTAAATTTATTTCACTGCTTGGAGGTGCATCTGTTAGTCTGAATGTAAATAAAAAGAAAAGAAATTTTTTTCTTTTGATCAATGACTATAAATCCTCTCAGATTTTTGACAACTACATTGCACTCAATAACACATGTGCTAGTGCTTTGAAGAAGCAAAGGGCTCAATTGTGACCATTTGTATCAATGTTGCTTAGGTTTATGAAATGTATTGACAATCAGAATCACACAGATTCTGGGAGATTGGACAAGGGACCTAGTGCTAACCTCTTAAAAGGATATTTGAAAGTTCCAACATCATTTCCCCATGATTTCCTTGGTAATTTCAATATAATGTGAGTTTTTAATACTGAAAACTATTATATTTACATACATACCACAAAATCAGCTCTAAATAAGTTAAATATAAAAGGTAATAAACTTTATGTCGAGTGTGGTAGCTCACACCTGTAATCCCAGCACCTTTGGAGGCCAAAATGGAAGGATTGCTTGAGCCCAGAAGTTTGAGACCAACCTGGGCAACATAGTGAGAACTTGTCTCTACAAAAAAAAACAAAAAAACAAACGTGGTGTGTGCATGTGTAGTTCCAGCTACTTGGGAGGCTGAGGTGGAAAGATCATCTGAACCCAGGAGGTTGAGGCTATAGTGAGCTGTTATCATGCCACTGCACTCCATGGCAACAGAGTGAGATCCAGACTCAAAAATAAATAAAAGATAATAAACTTTAAATTTTAGGAAAAACATACCACTGTGACCCTTGCTTAAATAGAGTTTTTTTGAAGAAAACATTTAAAGTGCTAATCACAAAAGTTCTATAAATTTGCCTATGTTGAAATAAGAACTTTTGTTCTTCATATGATAAGAGTAGTAGAGAGGCAAGCTACTTACAAGTGGGACAAGGATATTTGTAGTAGATACGTCTTACAAACTAGAATATATAAAGAATTCCTACAAATCTATAAGAATAAGTCAACCCAGTATTAAAATGGGCAAAAGATGTTTATGGACATTTTTAGGAAATACACAAATGGTGAATAAACATGAAAAGATGCTCAGTAGCAATCAGGAAAAAACAAATTAAGATCATATGAGATACTATTTTATACCCACCAGACTGGAAAAATTAACAAGCCTGAGAATACCAGTGTTGGTGAGGATGTGGAACAAAAGGAACTTGATTCACTGCTGGTGAGAATGCAGATTTATACAACCACTTTGGAAAATGGTCTGGCATTATCTTGCACATCTGAATATAGCACAAGCTTTATGATCCAGCATTTCTACTCTTAGGAATACGAAAGAAACTTGCACATGAGACCAGGAAACATGTATAAGCCTGTTCATAGCAGTACTGCTCCTAACAGAAAAATGTTGGAAAAACCCGTATTTTTTGACAAAGTTTCAAAAACAAGCAAAACTAAGAAGAATTGCTCCTAACAGAAAAATGTTGTAGATAACTCGTGTTTACTGACAAGAAAGTTTCAAAAACATATATATCTAAGTAATTTCTAGGATGCCTACAGCCAGGGTAAAACTATTTTCTAAAACAAGGGGGGAAAAGAGACAAATCTTCCTTATTAAAGAATTCCAAATAATTTTTGTTGACACTACCTTACTGGGAGGAAGAGCATACTCCTCCCCCTCGAGTGTGGACTAGATGTAGTGTCTTGACCACAGTGAATAGAGAAAAAGGAAAGGGGAAAAGGCAACCTTACAGTGGTCATGGTTAACATGGTCATTGTTGTCATAGATAGCACATACCTCTTGATACAATGTAATCAAAGGCACACTTCACCTCTGGTATTTCTAAAAACCCATAACCCAGTTGAACCATGAGAAAAGCATCAGGCAAACTAACATGAAGGAACATTCTACAAAACACTTGATCAGTACTCAAAACTTGAAACTAAAAAAGAAATACTGAGAAAACATCACAGACCACTTAGGAGACATGAAAACTAAATGTGATATATTCTAGATTGGATTCTGAAACAGATAAAGGACATTAATGAAAAAACTGAAATCAAAATAAAGTTTGAAGTTTAGTTAGTAATTTTGAAAAAGCCCAGAAATAAACCCCCATATGTATGGCCAAATGATTTTGACAAAGATATCAAGACCACTCAATGGGCAAAGAAGAGTCCTTTCAACAAATGGTATTAGGAAAATTGGATATCCATGTGCAAAAAAAAAAAATGAAGTTGGATCCTTACCCTATACCATATACAAAAATTAACTCAAAATGGATCAAAAACCTCAATGTAAAAGCTAAAACTATAAAACTCGGAGGAAAAAATAGGGGAAAGCACATGACATTGGATTTGGCAATGTTTATTGGATATGACACCAAAAGCATAAGCAACAACAAAAAAAGTAGATTATATTAGACTTCATCAAAGTTAAAAACTTATCTGCATCAAAGAACACAATTAACAGAGCAAAAAGTAACCTATGGAATGGAAGAAAATATTTGTAAAATATATGATAAGAGGTTAATTTTCAAAATATATAAAAAACCACAATTCACACTCAGAAAAAAAAAAAATCCCACTGGAAAAGGGACAAAGAATTTGAATATCTTTATCTCCAAAAAAAAAAAAAAAATGACCAATAAACATATGAAAAACATATTCAACACCATTAATCATTAAGGACATGCAAATCGAACTACAATGAGAGACCACTTCCCATCAATTAGGATGGCTGCTATCAAAAGAAGCGTTGGTGAGGAGAAACGGAAACTCATTTGTGTTGTTTGTAGGCGTGTATGATGGTGTGGCTACTACAGAAAATAACATGGCAATTCCTCAAAACATTAACCATGGAATTACCATACGAGCCAGCAGTTTCACTTCTGGGTATATACCCAAAGAATTGAAATCAGGATCTTGGAGAACTGCGTGTGTACCCATGTTCATAGCAGCATTATTTACAGTAGCCAAAAGGTGGAAGCAACTCAAATGTCCATTCAAGGATAAATGGATAGACAAAATGGGCTATATACATACAATGAAATATTATGCAGCCTTCAAAAAGAAGTCAATTCTATGACATGCTACAACATGGATGGACCTTGAAGACACCACTCTAAGTGATATAAGTCAGTCACAAAAGAACAAATACTGTGTGATTCCACTCGTACGAGTTACCTAGGAGAGTCAAATTCAGAGAGAGAGAAAGTACAATGGTGATTGCCAGGGGCATGAGGGGGAGGATATATGGGAGTTGTTTCATGGATTCAGAGTTTTAGTTCTGAAAGAGAAAAAGAGTTCTGGAGATTGAACAACAAAGTGAATGTACTTTACTGAACTGTAAACTTAAAGGTGGTTAAAATGATCAGTTTTCTGTCACCCATATTTTGCCACAATTTTGAAATGTAGAAAAAGGTGGGGGAAGATATATTCAGGAGTTTCAGACATATTCACTCCTCTGAGTGAGGGCATTGTCACTGGACAGGAGGAGCACATAGCTAGCTTTAGTAGTGCCGCTCAAGTCTCAGTTCTGAGGTTGTGTCGTTAGGTCCACCCAACTTTACATATGTTATACGTTAAACATTCTATACATGCAAGAGACAGCCATATTATTTCATTAGCATGACTGCTACAAAAGATCATCTTTGGCTATAGTGGTTTGTCATGTCTCCATCTTGTGTAGTCTTTGTTCTTAGACATCTTAAACTGGGTATGCGATTCTTTTTTTTTTTGGAGTCGGGATCTGACTCTGTCACCCAGGCTTTAGCTTGATCACGACAGTCACGGCTCATGGCAGCCTTGACCAGCCGGGCTCAGGCAATTCCTCCACCTCAGCATCCCAAGTAGTTGGAACTACAGGCACCCATCACCATGCCCTGCTAATTTTTTTATATTAATAGAGACAAGTTTTTGCTATGTTGCCCAGACTGGGCTCAAACTCCTGGGCTCAAGCAATCTACCCATCTTGGCCTCCCGAAGTGCTGGGATTACAGGCATGAGCCACCATGCCCTGCCTGGTTATGTAGTTCTTAAAGATCCCAACTTAAGCGTCATTCTTTCCACATAAAACTTTTTTTTGATTTGGAGTCTCACTCTGTCACCCAATCTGGAGTGCAGTGGCATGCTCATGGCCACTGCAGCCTCAACCTGCTGAGCTCAGGTGATCCTTCTGCCTCTGCCATCCAAGTAGCTGGAACCACAGATGCATCCCACCACGCCTGGCTATTTTTTTTAAATTTTGATTTATTGTAGAGAGAGGTTTTGCCGAGTTGTCCAGGTTATTCTCAAGTCCGTAGGCTCAGGCAATCCTCTCGCCTCCACCTCCAAAAGTGCTGAGATTACAGGCATGAGCCACCGCACCCGGCTCATGTAAAACTTTAATTAGATGTTCTGCTCTACCACATAACCATTTGGGAGTGGAGCCTTTGATTCACCTTCATGTTCTCTATTTCGGACTTCAAAAAGTTTGTCCCTTCTCCCAGCTGTGTGCTTCTGATGGTCTCTGATTCTGACTAAAAGTTCGTGTTCTTCCTATGGTCTATAGAGTTAGTTCGTTTGTTCTACTGAGTGTCTTTTAGGACTCGGGTACTGTTCTATTAATAGATGCTGAGGCTGCAGCAACTAGGAAAGCAGACAAAAATTCCTGCCGTCTTTGCTTCCCTCATTCCAGAAAAAAGAATCCCAATTCTTCTTGGCCTATCTTTCCCTCCTAGCCTTTCTTAATTGTGTTTATTTTCTCCAAGCCTCTAAAATTCTGACCTTTCTCAAGGAATGAAAAGCAGAAACACATGTTTACATTTTTAAATATACAAAATATCCTGGGGAACCTTTTCAAAATCATTTAATATTTTTAATGATATAAAAACACATGCTCATTGCAGTTATGCAGGATGAATAAGTCCAGAGATCTAACGTACAATGTGAGGACTATAGCTAATGATATTGTATTGTGTGCTGGAAATTTGCTGAGAGAGTAGATTTTGTGTGCTCTTATCACACACACACCAACGCGCGCGCGCGCACACACACACACACACACACACACACACACAGTATCTGTGAGATGATGGATATATTAATCAGCTTGATTTGACTAATCAGTTCATTGTGTGTGTGTGTGTGTGTGTGTGTGTGTGTGTGTGTGTATAAACATAAATACATATAATACAGATGTTCATTGTTAAAAACATTCGAGCAATATAGAATAGAAAGAAAATGGGCCAAGTGTGGTGGCTCACACCTGGAATCCCAGGAGGCCAAGGTCGGAGGATCATTTGAAGCCAGGAGTTTGAGACCAGCCTGGGCAACATGGTGAGGTCTCATCTCTACAAAAAGTTTTGAAATGAGCTGGGCATAGTGGTGTGCACCTGTAGTCCCAGCTACTGGGGAGGCTGAGGTGGAAGGATCACCTGAGTGCAGGAGTTGGAGGCTGCAGTGAGTTATGATCGAACCACTGCTCTCCATGCTGGGTGACAGAGCAAAAAATAAAAAAAATTTAAAAAGTGAAAGAAGGCCGGATGTGGTGGCTTAAGCCTGTAATCCCGGCACTTTGGGGAGGCCAAGATGAGGGGATTGCTGAGCCCACGGGTTCAAGAACAGTCTGGGCAACTTGGTGAGACTTCATCTTTACAATAAAAAAAATTGGCTGGGCATGGTAGTATGCACCTGTAGTTCCAGCTATTTGCAAGACTGAGGCGGAAGGACTGTCTGAGGTCAGGAGGTTGACGCTGGGTGGCTGTAAGCATGCCACTGCACTCCAGCCTCGGTGACAGAGTGAGAATCCAACTAAAAAAAAAAAAAGTGAAAGAAAATGAAAATCAATCAGAGATGCCACTAATAACATTTTGATGTCTTTCCTTTTCAATATGCTCGTATTTGTATAGACATATGGACCCAAACTGTATTATAGTGCTCTTTTTTTTTTTTTTT